GTTTCTCACAAACAAATCTGTTGCCGTTTCATTTGGAGGACATAACATAAACAAGATTTAAATTTTTGTTTTGGCGTAGATGAAATTAGAACGAACCACCAATGCAGATACTTTTGTTCACTGTAAAGGAGCATTTTTAGTAAGTATAGTCATGGTTTTTGAAGTGAAGAAAGAAAAATAAAAGTTTTATTACCACTTGATTTTTTTATTTGTTTTACACTTTATGAAACTTCAGTATTTTATTGGGATAGACAAACAGAAAAAAGTCCATATGTGAAGTGGGAGCAGACAAAAATCTATTCCTTATCATGGCGACATTTCCTCTCGTTTCAAATAAATTGCCTGTCAAAATCTTAGCATGACTCTCTGGTCTCAGACAGGATGCTGTGAGAAACTCCTTCATCCCAGAAGCTCTGATCAAAGTTACGCCGTTGCTCTTGGGACGTAACTCCAGCGTTTTGAGCAAAGTCACAAGTTAGGATTTAAAACTTTAACAAGACCAAATTTAATCCCCTTTAAGCTGCTAATTCTGAGTCCTGGAAGACAAGGAGACACAAAGTCGCCGACCCTCTGCGAAAAATGTCAACATGACCCTGAGCAAGGCACTTCAAACCCAGCTGCTGTGAGATGTTACTGTGAGATGTTTTAAACTCACTATCCATATGTGACGGAAACAAATAATACATTTAGAGTACAAGATATATAAATCATTGGGCTCTGAAAATAAAAAGAAATAAAACTTTGAAAGTGGACTCCAATGAACTTATGGTTCTTGACTTGGGAGATATGACTCACTGCCCAGGGTGGCATATCCTGTTGAGAGGCTATAAAATATTGCATGTCTGTTAAAGCATGTCTTTATTTATCTAAATAGGTTTATTAATTGAAACGCATCCTTGTCCTTGTAGGACATCCAGGATAACCAACTCTCACCACTGTAAGATCAGCGAATAAAAATGTGGAAATTCAAAGATTATTGATAAATGATGATTAGTAGTAATTGATTAAATTAAAAAAATAAATAAAAGGTCAAATGAAACAGTTTCATTTTGTTTAGCAACAAAAAAACAACAACCAAATTTTTGAAGCGAGTGTAGACTTCAACTTTTAATAACTAAAACAATTAGTAAAAACAACAAAAACAAACTTATGTTTAGACTGTACAATACGAGAAACAACTATTTTAGATGTATGCAGAGTTTATCAACACTGATTTAATATAAAAACAACAAACTGCTTTAAAAACAATAATAATGTCTGATTTGTGATACAATAAGAAGTGTGATATGATCTCCACCTGAAGCAGTGGATTGTTTTGGACATGTAAATATATTTAAACATTTTCCGAGCAAAATTAATTTGGTTTCGTTTGCATTTATGCCCAAAAATAAATGAAGTACCAGGCAGAACATTTACTGTGTGTAAATGGAAAATGTATGCACTTTTTCCTGTAAGTGGTTACAATTACGTCTTACCTAAGATTTATGAAATTGATGTTTAATTGGAAGACAAGTAATAAATCAGGGCAGCACATCATCCTGAGTTACAGGAAGTTTGAAATACCTATTTTAATATATGTACTTTTTTTAAAAGGACACATGTTTGTAGAGCCGGATAGCAGCATGGCTCCTCGTGATTCAATGTTAAGAGATGAGCAGGACAGTGATGTGTTAAAATGTGCTGCCATCATTAAACAAGGCCTTACCAGTTACCATGGAAGCTCATTCGCAGGCAGAAAAAAAAAAGGCTTGAGAGGCTTACTGTGATATAATCAGCCACTTCAGGAAATCCACGATGACTAACAATGGATGGCATCAGGTGATGAGTTGTGTCCCCATCAGAGACACAATGTAAACCTGCCACCTTAAAACATGTCGACTCTCACATTCCAGTTCTCCTCTTCCTTCCTGGTTTCTTCTTTGTCTTTTATACATTCGTTTATTCATACAGTTATCTCAGTGATACACGTGGCAGCATGTGGGAGTCTGGGCAAATTTATCTTCATGATTTCAGTGTGCCTCAGATTGGCAGGGGTTTTGTAGGAGGGTGGCCCAGAAGACAATCCAAAAAAACATAATACAAGACCTGTATTCTCTTTATGGCTCATTTAAATCTCCATGTGGGCAGCCACCATTTTGCTGTCTCAAGTAGCTTTGTCTGCTCTGCAGATTTTCTAATGAGGGGCTTTTGGAGGAGGATGACAGGGCACTCTGTCCGCTCTGTCAGGGAGGAGGGGCTTTCAAAATAAACCGGCGACGCGCTGTTCATGGATACACTTAACGCCAGATCCCCCCCTACTCAGATGCCCTGCTGGCAGCTTGGCAGCAGTATTAGGATGGAGAAGGGTGGTATTAGTCTGAAACTCTCATTATGTCAGATACGCTGAAAACCTGTAATCCAGGCTCCAAATGATAGGGGAGGATTTAAAAAAAAAAGAAAGAAAGAAAAACTCGACAACAAGGCTGCAGGACTCAGAGTCTCTTTGTTTGGTATGGGGCACAAAGTCTGGAGCTTCTGGTCCCTTTCTGTAGCAGCAGAAAAACAGGAAACAGCAGCAGAGATTTGTCTAAACCTGCAAGCAAAACTGAAAAGAAGACGAGTGTTCGTGACAGTGAGACTGAAAGTAAACATTAGTCCCTAAAAGTTTAGTGGCTTAGTACAGAAAAGAAATCTCATAAAAATCTCAGCAGACAGTACCTTTATGTTACAGGTATTTTATGTACGTGTTGCTCAACTGCTGTTTAAATCTTTCAGGTCAACGAAACTCCTAAATGTCGAGTGTAATGTCTTCTGCTGTGTTTTATGGTCGAGGTGTAAGCAACTGAATCAAGAATAATGAGTACAAAAGGTAGCAAGACAAGCAAACAGAGATCCTGCCACCGTTTGCTTGCCTGCCCACAAGCAGAGTGGATATACTGGGAGGTATTGACTTGCCTTGACTAAGAATAGAAAACAGAGTGAGGAGCTTTTATAGAAGCACTGGGGACATCATGAGGGCACAACAATAAGAACAAGAACAAAAGTAAAGCCCAAGAAAGCATCACAGCTCCTGGCCTCTGCTTCTCTTTGTACTTCTGCAGTTTTTGATCTTTGTCCACTTTTCTTTTTCAGTTATGAAAAGAGCTTGAATCCCCAAAACAGGATTTAGAGCAACAACCGGTACAAATAAGGTGTAATATAAACTCTAGTACTAGTAAATTAGGTGACATTTTAGACTTTTGCTTTTGTTCAACTCCATAATTATCAACAATTACTGAACTATCAGGAGAAATCACCTGAAATCCTGAATACATTTCTGAGCTTCTCATTAGGTAAGAACCATGCAGACTCCTTAGATTATCAGAGATCTTCATATTGTTTTAAACTTGCTTCTGTGCATATTTGCCAAAAACACCAAGACAGTTTTAAGGAAGAAAGTTTTGATGCATTTTCATGCAATCCAAATCTACTATGGTGCAGCAAATATATATATAAAACATGACATTAATTTCATAAAAATTATGACTCTCAACCATGATCTTCTTTCTCTGTAAGTTTTTCAAATAAAATGTCGAATTAAGGCTCCCTCTCCTATGCCTGAATATGGGTGCATTTCCACCATGAATCTGTTTTTTTAATCATTAAATTTAAAAGACTTATGTTCTGCTTTTGTAGTAGTGTATATATGCCCTGCTGAAGTTTCTTAACATTTTTCAGCAACCACTGACCATGAGAACCGGTGCTTTAGTAAATTAGTAAATTATATTTGCTAAAAGAAAAGGCGTGAAAAAAATGTTACAAGGCTGCCCTCTGCTGGACACTGTCAGCGGTGCAGAGCAGCTGCATCGAGAGGGAGTTCAGAGTCAAACAAGAATGACGGATTCATACTGGATGTTTATTTATTTATTTATTTATTTAAAGAAAAAACCAATAGTTTTTTGTTTTTTTCCAACCTGTCCGAAGACAGAAGGTGCTCATGTTTTTGTCATTTAACAATAAATGGTAGAGGATACTCTGACTATGTGTTTCTGATTTAGTGAGTTGTATAAAAATGAAATTATTGACTGAAAAACTGCTTGGAAGTTCCTTAAATGGGTGTTATGCATTTTCCAGGCATATAGTCCAGTTTTACAGCACAGTCAAGTAACTATTTGTTACCTTCATTTGTTAAAAGTGCTTCACTTTTACATATAGATTTGAAACATATTTACATGTCAAATAGAAGAAATTAAAGACATTTTACTTCTTAATTTGACGCCTTGAAATTGTGCCTACAGTGTTTTCTCTTTCCGACACGCCTTCTTCAGCACGTCATCTTAATGCTTGTGTCGCCGTTGTTGTCATAATGAAAAAAACTTAAATAAAAAAAAAAACATCAAATTATATTACAACCGCAATGCTTTAGGGTTAGTGTTGAGGATTCTGCTTTTTATCACTCGCATTTTTATTTTTTCTTTACATTAAGTTAGCACAGATGCAATTTGGCATTTTTTTTTTTTTTTTACCTTTTTCGTTATTTTCAGTCAAAGTTATTTGGAATGACTGATGCTGGAAAGTTGTTTTGGAAAAACAATCAGGATTATTTCTGGATTACTGATTTCATTTTTACTGGACAGGTTTAAATAAATATAATAAAAATAATATCATTGTTGTTGATATTTTGTCTTTTGCAGGAATACTGGCTGTAGTTCAATAAGTTATTGGTTATTTAATTAATTCTTTAATTTGATCTTACATTTTTTAAATTACAAATATTTCTACTTATGTGCTAAATTTGACAAAGCAGATGAAAATGTTACAAATATAATATGTTGTATTATTATTATTAGTAGTAGTAGTAATAGTAGTATTATTATCTAGTAGTAGTAAATATTTTTCATTTAGTTGTAATTACTTACTAAATGATTCATAAACCATTCGATCATTTCACAAATTAATAAAACATCACCACTGTTCAGCGGAGGCGGCTGTAATAAAAACAAACAAAAACTCTTCTTCACGTGATCCACGAGAACGTTTATTGTGAAAAGCCCATGCAACCGGAAGTGTCCCAGGCAACTTTCCCAGCTGGTCTCAGACAAAGCAGTGAGGGGGTTATGGTAGGAGAAGAAGCGCATCGACCTCCGGAGAGCTGCTGCTGACGGGGACTGAGAAGATGTCTGTGGACGACGTGTACGTGTTCCGGCCATTCAAGCTGATCGCCCTGCTCTGCGTCTTCCTGGCGCTGTGCCTGGACGTGGTGGCTCTGCTGAGCCCAGCCTGGGTCACCGCCGAGCATTTCTCCCTGTCTCTCTGGGAGTCCTGCTCCCAGTCCGAGGCTCGGCAAGCCGCGGAGGAGGCTGCGTGGAGCTGCTTCTCCACCCTCACATCTGGTAGGAGGAGGAGGAGGAGGAAGAGGCTTTTGTTTGTTGTTTGTTTCTCGCGCCTGCTGGGTTATTTTACGGAGGTTGTTGTCTTTAATTTTCTGATATGGCTTGGAGCTTCTGATATAATCAGATTTTTGGCGCAAAAGCCTCCAAAAACTGCAGGGCAGGACCTGAATAATGTTGTTTGATGGGAAAAGGTGTGAACCCTTTGCTGCTCATTTAGGCAGCCATTTGGTGTGATGTTATTTACTAAACAGTTAATCTCACCTTTTTTTATTTTGAAAAAGATGCACCTGTGACAAAATCCCTGTCAGCTTATTGGTGTAGTTTTAAGAAAAGTAAATATGTCTTCCAAACATTTCAGTGTTAAGTTTGAAAGAAAGCTCTTAACTCAAGTAGCATCTTTGCTGTTCCTCTCAGAAATCTACTAAGTTGCTTTCTAAGAGCTCGTCTGGCCAGGTGAAATTTGCTTTATCTGGTTTTAGGAAGAGACAGTAAAGGTTGAATTGAACTTTTGCTTTGTGACAGGCAAAAAAAAAAAAAAACTTAAAAAGGTAAGACAAAAGGATTTGAAATTGACATAAACTGTAATCAGCATCTGATATTAGCAACTAGCATGATTAGCTTTAGCTGCTGTTGCTGTCTTGGTGTGTACTCCCCTGGAGAATATAGATCCTTATTTTAAATCTAAAAGTTTTCCACCATTTCCAAGTTAATCAAGCGTGGCCCATGAGACTGATTGTTGTTTTTTTTTATTCTGACTGGACAGCCACAGATTAGACAAACAATGTAAAATCACTAACTTATTTTACATTGAATTCCTTAAAAAAAAATAAAACAAACTCCACCGTAAGCATCTCTGGCACATTAAACTCCAACAACCAGAAGGCTTTAAAACCGTTTAAATTATCACATTCCACATCCTCCTCCTTTTTGGCTTCAGAGGGCCCAAACCTGGACTTGCTAAATCAACATCCAGCACCAGTTTATCTCACAATCCTCTCCAGAAACAAACGGGGACCTGCAGCCTGTGGCGGCCGATTTCCCTCTCACACTGTGGAATGTGTTGGGGTGAATAGGAGGCGGGCCCGCTGCTTTGAGCTCATTAAAACAACAGTGGAGTGGGGTCAAAGGTGGAGATCTGCAAAAGGCAACAAAGGGTGATCATCCACATGTCCTCGTGCTCACTCAAAGGTTCTTTGACTTATTTATTTTTGGAGTGACGTCGTTGTCCTAAAGGAAATGGCATGAAGGTGACTGGGTTGATTAAAAACAATGTTAGAAAGGACTAGAGAGACATACTTGTAATGTGAGAACATCGTTTCTCCGTGTGTCAGAGCAAATATGTAACCACGTAATAGAGTAAAGATGCTGAAAAAATATCTTCTGGAGTTTCAGCAAACTACGTTCAGAGAGCAGTGATAAAATGTTCCTTTGGAGGACAACAGGAGGATGTAAAAACAAGTCAACTTATCCTTTTATGGTTTGGGTCAGAGCACAAGGCTTGGTTAGATTGTTATGGCCCAGTCTTAAAATAAAAAGAGAAGAAAAATAGGGTAAACGTGCAGTTTCATCCGCCTGCGGTTGTGGAGGGATTCTCAGGAAAAGTATGTGACGATGGAAAGAATGTCTGAGTTGTACTTTTCTGAAAGGAGCAACAGCAGTTGGTGTGGAGTAGACGTTGAAATTTTGTTTTAAAAGTCACCAAGGATCAGTGAAAAAAGGGATTTCCAGACACTAGAGAACCAAAATCTTCAAGTAGAAAGTCCTAAATTTGCCGATTTCCATGTGGTAGTTACAGTTGTGCTACGTTTTCACAGACGTGAAACTTTCCCTCGTTCACTCCTTCAGAGCCATCTCAAAAGATACAACTCTTTTTGTGCACCCGCCCATACACAATCCTCCACAGGTTCAGAGCTAAACAAGCTTCAGCAAACTTTTCACATTCCTCCTGCTGGAGGAAACATTTGGACTCTACCTGGCTGGATGAAGAACAGCAGTGGAGATTTTTCTCCAGAGATTTCTGCTACATACATATTCAGACTTCTACGGTGAAAATAGAAACGTAAAATTTTCCTAAATTTTAATGGTTTTAATGGAACCTAATGCAGGTTCCATTAAAACCTGCATTAAAAGTCTGTCACTATTTACCAAATGGCACTTCATGACAACAGGCATAAGCATTCATGAAGACTCCTTCATGTCCATGACAGGTTTTGTCATGTTCATGACAGTCTCATATCAGTCTTATGCCCACCCCTTCAAATAAACCCAATAATCTGTTTTCCTAATATTTTAATTGCATTGAAGTAAAATGTTGAGAACCCTGTATCATTACCTTCTCTCCACAGTAATGCATTGTGTTTGCGGCTTGTTACTCATGTTCCTGATTCTCTCCTGCAGGCTTGAGTCTGTTCTGCTCTGTTCGGTTCTGTGTAGGATTAGCACTTCCTTTGTGCTGTTCGACACAACGCTTCAATTCAGCCGCGCTGCGCTCTGAATCAGGTGTTTTTTGTTGTCGGAGTGGGATGCTCCTCTCTAACCTCCCTGTTTCCCGCCCTGCAGATTGGCAGATCGCCACCCTGGTGCTCCTGGGGGCCGGCGCCGTCGCGACTCTGGTGGCGTTCCTGGTGGCCCTCATTTCCCTCTGCTGGGGTACGAAGAGGCAGCACTACCGCATCGTGGCGGTGTTCCTCTTCACTGCAGGTGGGTCGGCCTTTACGACTCCCTTTGAGTGAGCGCGTTTGGGGATGGAAGGGCCAAACTGATTTGCATTCGCCACAATAGTTTCCATGCTCGCACGTTTTCTTTTCTATGCTCCCGTTAAACAGAGGCGATGCAGAAATGGAAAGAAGAAAACCGTCAGAATGATGTTTGGTGATTGAGAGATGCTGCTGCTGCTTGAGCCAAGAAACAGCAGCCGCAGAATTTCCAACCTTACCAGCTAAAGTAAAGTCACATTGAGACGGGGCGGGGGGAGTCATTAGAGACCGCTCAGCCAGCATTGCCTCATAAGATGGAGTCCTGCTTTGTAGAAAGATCTCTTGGGCCAAACCAAACTCCGTAGCGGAGGAGGGAGGATCTAAATCTGAAACGTGTAATTAGGAAGAATAATGAAGACACATTCTTCCATGAAGAATATAGAGACTGTAATGACTGAGTCATAACTCAAGCCTCATTTAGCTTAGCAGTAGTGAAACCCCAACCACTCACTATCACAGCACGTTACTCACACTGACTTCAAGCAATGGCAGCTTCCAAAATAAAGTCAAATTATACAAGAAACAGACGTCCAGCACACTACAAATAAACCTCAACGGTTTCAGAGTGTGAAGAAAACTTTATGCTTCTCAGCATGGAAACTTTATGACACGTTTATTATGTGCTAAATTAAGTCCAGAGTCAAAAGTCTATTAATTCCCCCATTTCTACACTGCAAAAACACAAAATCCTACCAAGTAGTTTTGGCCTAGTTTCTAGTGCAAATATCTTAGTAAAACTGAAATAAGACAAAACTAACTTACGAGTAACGTAGCAAGATATAGAGACTTGTTTTAAGTAAATAATGTTTTAATATTGATGAAAAAGTACTTGTTCTATTGGCAGATAAATTAGCTTATAATATGGGAGAAACGTCTTCTCGTAAGTGAAATATTTGCTCTCCTGAACCTCTTTCTTCTACATATTAGCTGTGTATCAGATATGGCTGCCATGACAACCAATTCTTCTATCTGAGCTGCAGATTTCTTCTAAAGTAACCATGGGATAAGCCTGTTAGATCAGGTGAGCAGCTCATATGCAACAGTGGCAAACTCTTTCCATTTTCAGATAAATTAGGTTCTCTGAAAGCTTTTCTAAGCTTGGGATGTTTTATATCCTAGCCCTGATTCAGTCATCCCCTTGAGCTTCCTGCTTTGTTCCCTGGTCTTTATGATGCCGTTTGGTCGCTAATGTTCTCTAGCAAACCTCTGAGGCCTTCACACAACAGCTGGATTCATAGTGAGATTAAATTACACGTATGCCGTGGTGGAGCTACATTTTATTTATGGGTATCTGATTAAAGGGAGCTGAATACAAGTGGAGGCCACCCTTCTCAGATTTTTATTTGTTGAAAATGTTTCTGTTCTTTTAATTACGAGTGTGAAGGCGGTGAAAAGATTTTTGCTAAACGTCCCGTTGAGCTTCCTGCCTTGTTCCACGGTGTTTATGATGCAAACATAAAACCATTTTTCAGCTTTCCACCATGCATACAGAGATTTCACAGCTTTCTCCACTTCTTCTGATGATAAAATTCCCAAATTCTTGGCAATTTTACACTTATGACATTACTCCGAGGTTGTTTACTGACCTGTTAACACTTGGCCTAATTAGCGAGCTGGACCGAAGAGGCCATCGTGACGCTCCTGGCTGTTTGTCTTTCAAAATGTTTTTGCAGCCAGCATGGACTCCAGCATGGCGTTTGTACAAAACCTGTAGAGAATTCAAACTGAAATAATTAGGCAAAGTTTTAAAAATCAAATGGGTTTCTTTGACTTTACTATGAAAACATTTGGTCACTGAACTTTCACAGTGATCTGAGCTCAGAGGCTGAGATCAAATTTCTGCCGTTCCAGGCTTTCGCGCCACATATTTCACATATTACAACACGAGTCTGCACTGAAACGCTCTGGATCCTGAGCTCAGACCATCACTCATCAGAAACATTTGGCACAGTTTGAAACAAACTACAACTGTGAAGAAACATGATCAGTATAAATATGGGGGGGGCGGCAGGGGAGAGCTTTTGCTGCCCTAACGAGCTTGGTTTCCTTTTGATCAACCACAATTAATGGGGTGTTTGCAATGGCATCACAACAAGTACCCAGCGGTCATCTTGGAGAGTAAACAATGGCCGTAACCGTGGCAACACATGCAGGAAACTTGGAGAAAGCAGGTTTTTAAAACAATAGTTCAAAAAAAAAAAGACAGGTTGGTTTCTAAATAAATGAAATCTAATTGATGGGCTAGACCCACAACTGATGCAAGTTAATCTTAATGAGTGTTTAGGCTGCCAAGCATCTCTTACTCAAGAGTTACTGCTTTTGCCAGTAAGACTCAAAACCACTTCAGTTGGGTAATGTTTGGGAAAACATGGTTGTTGTTACTGGCAAAGAAAGGATTTCCGTTTGTTCTTTTTAACTATTAGTACGCGCTAATGGCCACTAGCTTTTAATTGATGAAATAAAATTAGTCATAGCTCAGAAATGTAATTTTTTTTATCTAGGCTGTTGCTCCAAAAGCAGTGGATGGTAAGGAATTTAGGAAAAGGTACCAAAGTTCACAAATCATGTTTTAAATAGTCTACATTTAGTCTAAACTCAACTTGCTTATTGAACTAGTACAAACTATATTTGAAATGAAGCTAATTTCTTAGAGTAATTTACAAATAATCAAATTTATGATAAATTTAGAAGTATACGTTTGCAAAGGTGTAGAATTTATTCATGAAAATTTGTAGGAACCCTATAATATCTTTCATATTCAATGGATCAGTTTAACTGTGCCAACCTGTTGCCATAATGCACTTGAGGCTGGGCAAAAAGCTTATCTCTCAGAATGACAGCATTTCCAAATATACAACTACAACTACAGGGTAAGTAACCCGTATTCAGAATGACCCAGTCAGAGTCCAGACTTAAATCAAATTGAAATCCTGTGACAAGAGTTTCAGATTTTTTTTAATTTATTTTATTTTTTTGCAATCCAATGATCTATTTTGCAAGAAATAATGAGCAAAATTCTCAGTTTCCAGATGTGCAAAGAGAAGCATACCCAAAAACAAAAAGACTTGCAGCTGTGATTCCCTCAAAAATCCAGCAAAATGTGGATCTAGTGGATCTAGGGAGACTTCTTACAGATTCATGTCAAACTTCTCCGATTTTTACTTGTAAAACATTTTTTAAAACCACAAATCATCTACATTCTGGTTCACAATTATTCACTACTAATAAATAAAATACTCAATAAATGTCACAACAAGAAAATTTGCTGGACAATAAATTATTATTGCAATAAACGATAATATTGATTTTTTTTTATACCGTTTTCAAGTAATGAAAAGGCAATAGCGAAATAATAATGCAAGAACACATTCTCAAAGATGAATAAACTTTAAATTCTAAAGAATATTTAACACTGGAACTGGAAGACATTTTAAATATCCAAAATAAATTAATCATTCTAAAAAAAGAGCCAGAATTAATGCTTTTATCATCCTTTTTTTTTGGTAGAAAGAGGATAAACGATAAATCATGCAAATGGAAATTATTGAGCTTGTTCAAATATATTTTGCAATTCGTTGATTTATTGTTTATCGCGACGGGCCTCCAAAATGTGAAAGTGGTCAAAAGAAAGCAGACTTTCTCAAGCCACTGTAAAACTGAGCAAAATGTAACTTTCTAACACTGACTGGCATTGAAAAGGAAGCTTTGTATTGTTCCCTCTCTGCAAACAGCTGCTACAAAGGAGCACTGTAGTCCTGTCAGTGGCTGTGGCTTTCCCTGTTACACATTTACTGCCAAGCGTGGGAATGCCGTGTTATTCCTTCCTGTGTGTAATTGCCTTAAGAGCCTGGAGAGAAAATGTCTCCACACAGACTCGGGAGTCCTCAGCAGAAGGGCTGGATTGTTAAAAGCCTCTTGGCAGGAGGACTGTGACTCTCTGGTATTTATTTTCTTTCCAGAAATATGACCTCAGCTCACTCCGTCGGGACTCAGTGAACACGGGCCGGGTCTCCACCCAAACACCCAGGGCTGCGTCCTGTAGGAAGGAAAGGTGGAAACACCTTTAAAGTCCTCAAGAGTCGCGCGGCGTGCATGCGAAGGAGCGAGCGTAGTGCGAATTATTTTGGGTGTGAATGGTGGGGAGGAAAGGATGATTCACGACCTTGCCGCAAAAACCTTCGTCCACATGCGAGGCGGAGATTAAGAGAATGATGTTTGCGACTCTTCGCACTTCTTTTGCGTGAAAGAGCTGAAGGAGCCTTATGTTGTGGGTGCTAACATCTGCGCTAAACGTCTGTCGCTGTCGGGGAGAAGCCACTTCAACCAGGCCTCACTTTCCACTGAGAAACCCGCAGAATCCACCGTCTTTAGAAAACCTTTTTTATCTGTGAAGTTGTAAGGTATGAGTAGTAATAACTCACAATACACCTAACTAATTCTTAAGGCCTTTTTTGCTTTGTGCCTTAAAAGTATTGGCATCTTTTTTCACATTAGAGCCCTGTTTTATTGGGTTTTTAGGTAACAAACCAAGGTGAAGCTTTGCATATTAGTGAAGCAGAAGGGAATTGATTTATGATTGTATTTTCTTTTATTCTTACCATATATTAAAATCAGATTTCTTTTAACCTGAAATAAAACCAGCTGCCACTAGAAGTATTTTTTTTACACCTGTGTACAGTAATCCTAGAATTGTAAACAAATGTATAATTGTTTGAGAAGGTTAGTGGACAAAATGAATCATGAGCTGCAGTTTTTAAAACCATAAGAAAATAATGAGAATCTTGACTATCTTTGATATTTTACGGATAAGAACGGGATAAAATTTGCACTTATATTCATGTTTTTTATTATTAAGTTCATTTTACATCAGAGAACAAGATACATGGTAATGGTACATTACATTAATGAATGAATATTAAGAATCGTGTGTGAAATTCGTGGTTTTAAATACGGAGAGTTGTTGAAGACAAACTACATGGGACTGACGGCGGTAAATGAATAATCTACACAGTATTGAATTGTGGCGATGAATCCAAATTCAGGCCGCACTATTCAGTGTTTCTTAATTTTTTTCATATATAACGTAGAAAACCAAGGAAGAAGTTTTCCATGAAACTCAATAAAATACATTGAAGTTTCTGAGACAAAATGTAAAAGAAAAAAAGACTTAAGGTAAACTAAATATTTTGCACATCAGAATATGATCATTTCAAGCATCAGAACAAATAAGTTAATAATCATTAATCAATCATTCATTGCATAAGCATGTTATGTTCAGTTTATTTTGAAAATGCAGAAAAACATCCGACCGGTTTTATCATCAGGTCCCGTTAAAAGTCAAACTGCCAACTTTTAATCATCATTTCATCCTGGAAGCTGTTTGTGTTCGCTTTCATGTTCAGGTTCATTAATATCACATTTCCTTGTTTAAACCAAGAATTGTTATACATCAAATGGCTTCCCACTGCTAACGGCGCTAACATGTTACAGAGTTTTAGTTTGAAAGACGGGAGGAAAAAAAACTTCAAAAAAAGAAGGATTAATCCATAACCAATGTTAGATTTTGAATTTGGAAAAAAGGCATAAAGGCAGAGAGAAAGGAAAACTATCAAACAAATTAGGCAAATATCTGAATAAGCCAAATGAAAGACTTCAGTGAAACAGAAAAAGTGGAGCACATATTCTAGATTGAGTGTGGAAATGGCTGCTTAAAACAGTTTTTGAAATGTCAGTAATTAGTAATTAATTATTATTAGTATTAATAAATCAGCTTTCTGTTTCTAAAGAATGTAGATCCTTTGACTAAGGTTCGTTTTCTGCTTAATGAATCACAGAAACGTCTCGACTCATCTTACATAACACTGTTTCCTTTTAAATATCCTTTTACGTCGCTGTGCTTCCTCCGATTTCATTCCTTACTGTTTTTTTGAAAAAGCCCAAGTTGGAGTTTGATTCCTCCTCCAACATCCTCCACACACAACCAGAGTGTGTTCACTGACTGGGAAAAAAAAGGTTTTCAACCAGTCTGCCAGCAATCATGGCCAGTGAAGCAGAAAATTGACCAATTTTGCTCACAAGCTTATTTTTAAAATTTTTGATGCTGTTAGCAGAGCTCTTTAAGGAAAATTTCCCCCTATTTTAAACCACATATGTGGGAACTCTACATTGCGTGGAACAACCGTTGTTGGTTTTTTTCATGTTTTCCGTTTTCTCTAACACACTTTGAACAGTTTGACTCCTAATCTATGCTGCTGTGAATGTGCTATTGTTTGCATTTCCCTGTGTAATCCCCATCACATTACAGGCGTTGTCTCATAACAATGAGTCTTGTTTTTCTGGTTAGAATATTCAATACCCCAATAAAATATATGGTTAGGAAGACATTTTTGTTGCTACATGTTAGCTTGGCAACACAAAAATTTGTCAAATTCAGAAAAGAAAAGTTTGATTCTCAAACCATTTTATAGAAAATAGAAAATGTTTGTGTTTAGGTTTTGAATTCTGTCTGTTTCATATAATACTGTCTGGTGCAGATCCTGCTGCAAGAAGCAGTTAGCTTCACTAGTTTTGATTTTATAAAGCACAGAAAGTGCAGTTGTGGCCTACTAATTGGCTGTAGGATGTTTATCCTACTAAATAACAATGTGTTACTTATTATTAACAATTAAGGGTGAATAAGTTTCTTATTTTACGGTACAAAAAAAACTAACAAAACACTTTTACGATCAGCTCAGACATTTCAGTTTATGTGAGTAATGTAACGTGAAAGGCTGCTTGTAAAATCTTTGTTTATTAACGAGGGTAATCTCATGATTGTCTCTCTGGTTGCAGTTGTTTTGCAGGCCTGTGCCCTGGTGCTCTACCCAATCAAGTTTATTGACGGGACGGTTCTACAGACCTACCATGAGTTCAACTGGGGCTACGGACTCGGCTGGGGAGCCACCATCTTCATGCTGGGCGGAGGGATACTCTTCTGCCTGCGGGCGGACATTTACGAGGATGCCATGTACTAGTGAAATCCCTGCCGCGCTGCTGAAATGCAAACCTAAACCCACAGAAACTTCTCTTTGCTCTGCACAGGGCCTGTACGTGAGCAGACCCCATGTCTTGTTTCTGCCTCCTGTCTTGCTCTTGCTGTTATTTTTAGACAGGTTGTGAAGGTGTTATTTAGGGCTGCGAGAGTCGATCTCCACCCCCATCCTGCAGTCACACTCAGCTGTCGGTGGCGTTTGGTGGAGGGGGCGAGGTGGCAACACTAAAGCACAGAGTTTTCTGGACTGGCTCGGGCTGCTGGACGTTTCCAGGATGTTTATTGTTAGAAATGACACAGACCTGAATGTGCTGGGGCTGACTATTCACCAGGACTGACTGATCTCCACATTTCCTTTTTTTATTTTTATAGTGTATTTATGGCATAATTTCTCTCTTTCCTGATATTCAGTGTAAATTTCCCCTCTGTTTAATCTAAAACATATCTAATAAGTGTAAATTAGATTTTTTATAGATGTGTAGCCTCTGGAAAAAAAAAATCACAGTAGTTTGTCCCATAAAATCTACAAATAAATATGAAATATTTCTATGTGTGTTGTTTGAAGGAAACATTTTGACATATTGATTACAAACTGTCATGACTGTACACCACAGAAACAAAAATACAAACCAGTTTAGAGAATAAGATTGCATTAACAAATCGACATTTTCAGTGAGATTCCAGAGAAATGAAGAGAATCATGGATAATTGTTGTTTATAAATGGTTTTTGTTCATTTTTCAGCCTTGCTAGCAAAATAGATACTCTTCCACAAAATTATTACAGATGCCAGGACTTTGGCCAGTTTGTGTCCTAGAGGTATTTTGACAATCCACTAAATTTGAAAGGGACAAAGACGGGTGTACATCAGCCCTCCATGAGTTATATTAACTCATTTTTTATATATTAATAGACAAATCCCTTAAGAATGTCAACAGAACCAAAAACTGCAGGAGGAAAATCCTGGACCCAAAAACCTTTTTAAAGTCTAATTTTGTCATGATTACAGCCCATAGTCTCCCCTAGGATAAATACAACCACCTTCCTTCAAGTCTCCCCTTCATCTCTATTCATTCATTTATTTTTATCCAGGCACTGTCTGGCTCTTTGACTACTACTGCCTATGGACTCCTGTTTAGCAGAGCTGAAACTAAGACATCAGCAATCCCACAATGCAATGCGGTATAACGCCTGCGCTCATTCCCATTACTATTTCAGTTAACATCTTAAACATGGCACCTTTAAAAATAGTTTATCCTTCAAATTCTGAAAAGTGTACAAAGCAGTTCTAAGTTATTACTAATTATGTCTAGTTTGGGAGTATTTGGTTTTTAATATTATTGTTGGAGGCAATATTTAAGTATATTTCTTTAAATTTTCAATCAGAAATACCCCATCTACAAATTATCTAATACATTTTTCTATGAAATCAATGTATAGATATTTTCTATCTATTGTTTAATACTTGGAAGAAGACTTGAGCTGCTTTCACTATCTGGTGGCTAGCATAAAGTCAGCTGGCTAATATGTAAACTTGAATTATGCTACACTACATGAAACATTTGACATACTTTTTGTAGTTTGAAAGTTTACACAAACTCTAATGTCATGTATTTATCCCTCTGTCTAGTGTAAACTTCCTAACTTTAACACATGTCCTTTAAAACAAAAAACAAGAGATTTTATTACGTAGCTAACAGTTGTAACTAAACCAGTGATCGTTTATATTACCTTGGTTCACCTGAATCAAATGAAAGCTCGTTACCAGCTCCGTGAGAAGGCAGTCCGATAAGGAGCTGTGTTGCAGCAGGTACGTAAAACTAGGCCTTGACTCAGTGTTTTAGGGCCTTGAGGACTGGAGGTGGACGGCCCTGTTACAGACTAAACAACCCTAAGCCACCGAACCTCTTTCATTATCTGGAACACATTCCTCAGAGGAAGGCGGAAGCTATTTAAAGAGGTACCACGGGACTGCTAGCTAGCTAGCTAGCTAGTGTGTACAATGTAGAGATACATGGAACATTTCCATGTTCAGTACCACATTTTACAGCATTTTAACAGTTTACTCATGAATTTAGGATGGGAAATCATTTCACTGACACATTCACTGACATACCTGGTTGCAAAGCCTGAAAATAAATCCCTTTTTATTGCTATGCTTCTCTGCTAGTGAACCTTTTTACCACCAAATAGGTCATCTTCCATTAACAGTTAAATTTATTTTAAATATTTTAACTGTTGCTCTTACTAGAAAATATGAGACAAACCAAATCTCGAGAGAAAAAAAACAAGTATAGCAAAATCTATATTTATTTCATGTGACTGAAGTCTAACTGCCAAATAGACTTTGAAAAGAAACTGGAAGAAAATAAAAGATATAAAAACAAACAAAAAAATATCTAAGAAAGAAGTGGCAACAATTTATCCAGAAGTTAATACAAATTAACCATTATTATTATTATTATTATTATTATTATTATTATTATTTTAAAAAACAAAGAAAGTATCGCATCCAAAAACCAGAATACCTAGGAAAACAAAAAAAAAAAGTAATTTATATTCAGGTGTCCAAATAAATGTATGCAGGTCAGGTTTTTTTGTTGTAACCAATTCATGACATGAGTGTTACACATCTTTCTTGTTGGAATATGTTCTCTTGGATTGCTCATTTAGAAAAGTGACGTAGAAAATGGTTGTCTGTCATGTATTTATACCCCAAGATAACAGAAAAAAATAGAAAAAGTTATGTTTATATAATACAAGTTGTAGGAGTGCAACTGCAGCCACGTTTTTTTTTTTTGTGTGTGTGTGAAATTGCTGTATTTTTACCCAAATAATTAAAGATACTTAGTTCAAAAGTTGTATTTTTCTGTCTTTTTTATTTTTGCAACTGTGGTGAATAGTAAATTTAGTTTGACAATTTTTGCACATCTTAACCATGAAGGCTGTACTGTACCAGAAATACATAATGGACAAAGCGGAAGCTTACAAAATAATTTTTAAAAATCTTATTTTCATTAAATAAGTGTGTGGTGCGATTTAAGATGTTAAAAGTTTAAGGTGGCATTCTTCCCGTGTCTGGTGGAAAAAGCATGGTCACACTTGAGCAGGCTGGTGAAGGCTGCCTTCAATCTGCTGCAGCTGAAAAGGGATAAACATTTCCCACAGCTGCAGCGGTGTGAAAACCGAACAGCTGCGAAGAGCATTTACACCAGAATCAACAGCCCCCAAGGGGGAAAGGAATCAAAATTATTTCACCATGTAGACTTGATAAATGGGCTCTGTGAGTTGTGCACTGCTGTTTTCTGAATGTGTGTTTTTATTTATTTATGCACGGTATCTCATTGAGATCCAAGCTCTCATTTACAAGAGAGACCTTCTTTGATAAAAATATTAAATTAAATTAGGTAAAAACAAGAGTAGCTTTCATGAGAAGATTTCTCTTTTTGTCTTAAGAAATTTGAGTTGTTCCAAAGGAATCAAAGTGGATAGATTCAGATCCTGCTTTAGTGTTTCACATTAAAGCAGCAGAGTGAGAAAATGCTTTTTTTTTTTTTAAAAAAAAAAAGTTCTGACCTTTACTAATGGAAAACCGAAGGAGAGCTGAAAGTGTAGCCTGTGACTGGGGTAGCTTTATAGATAAAAATGCACCAATGCATTACCAAAAAATATAAATTACAGTGAGTAAAAGCCTTACAACTTTAATGCACCATGATTGACAGCATCCAACATATGTAAAAACAGGCGGTGGGTGCATTTATGTAAACATCACAATGATCGAAACGAGCCAGGATGGTTGTTAAAAAAATGATGCTTCCTAGCACTTTAGCCTCCTGGGATCTTAGAAATGTGACTTAAAGGTTAGAGGTGAGGCGCTCTAGACCATCCTCACCAGATTGTGATTTCATGTCAGAGAGCAAGTTGAGCATTTTTTAACATAGCAGTGATCAAAAACATTAAGCGTTCTCCTACTCCCCCATGTAACCTTGTTTATCCTTGAACTATGCACATTCATTATCTGCAGTCGGTTTTCTTTACTTTTAATCAGCAGCAGAGGGCTGTAAAATGCATCATCTCACTACAGTGATCTGTCTTAAAGGTCAGTGGTGGGAATGCCTGTGGGCTTTCACCCTCAGGTTTCTGCCCACACAGATACTCCTACTTCTCTTCTGTAGCTCTGAGGATAGAGAAGTCATAAGAACAGCATGAAGTGTCTCAACGGAGGCATAGTTCCTGTGTGCTGATAGAAAAGCTGGTTGCTAAATTCCCAGGTGCCCGGACTGTTTTCTAAGTGCACTTAGTGGGTGTTGTGTTTGACAGCAGCCTTAATAATGGTCGCGTTCTTCCACCTAGTGGTCAGATGAATGTGATGTCAAGTTGTCTAGCATAAACTGTAGCACACACGCAAAGCCACTTTTGGTCAAATGCAGATTTCAATTTATCAAAATTAACATCTGGTCCTGGGAGAGAAACATTTTCTTTGTTTCTACCATAGCTTGAAGCGGTACTCGGTATATTGTTTTTATGTATTAGTTGTTGTTTTGTTTTATTGTATTCTGCTCATTTTGAATATATTTTACTTGACAGTGTTTTCTTTATCAACAGAAAATAAGCAGAACCACTGCAGCTCGGCAGCAAGTGGGACAGACCAAAACTTTTAAGGTAGATGGTGAATCCTGCAAAATCCAGTTAGTCAGAATTTGAAGGGAGTCTGTCCTGTGAAGATTAGCCTGGCCCCTGGGTGCAGTAACCAGTCAGGCCCTGCACGCTTTCACCCTGCAGGGACAGATTCCAGTTACTGAACCCGGGGGTCAGAGACGCATCGGCTCTGGCATGCCGTCACCTGAGGAGAAACAAAGTCATTGCTTTACCCAAGCATAAGATTTTCTGAAAACAAGCATAAAATCTAAAGATCAGACCTGCAGCCGTCCAGCGCTGCTGATCCTCATGAAGGCTCTCATCTTGTGCAGATGGGAGCCAGCGAGCTGTGAGGCTGATGAACTGACTGAGCAGCAACACCTGGGCTGTACCTTACCCTCCTACCAATCTATTATCAAGACTGGCTCCGCCAAAATTACACATTAACCCAAATAACTTTACTTGCTTCTCTTCTACTATCGCCACTCTGCAGCCCCCAGGGTCCCGTTTAACCTACATGTGTTTTTACTGGGGGCTGTGAATGGTACAAATCCTGCACTCAAGTAACTTGTGTTATCTCTTGAGGTGTAATAAAATTATCTGAATATCTTGCATAATATTCCACTTTGTATTACAGCGTCTAGATAAGACGAATCGCAGCGTGAGCACAATTCTTATCCACAAACTCTTATTACCATTTATCTAAGCCCATAAATAAATCCATGCCTAAGCAGAGATCAGAAGAAAAGGGCTGTGTGAACCTGACAACACCGGTGTGGGAAGCAGTCAGCTGCCTTGGCTGACCTTGAGGATGTCAATAAATGCTGGATCAAACACAGAGCAGTGGTCAACCTACAGCCAGATGGTTATTTTCTCAATGATAGAGAGAGAGAGAGGAAGAGAGAGAGAGAGAAAGTATCATGCAGCAAGCAGGTTAGTGCTGCACATGTATTTGAGATGTGTACAGGATGATCCTCTTGAATCATTACAGTCTTCTGTAATCTCTCAGTATTTCAGAGAGGGAATGATCACTGAGGTTCCCTGGACATTTGGAAAAGAGCAAATATTCCACCATATTTAACAAGGGAATGTGGTACTTTTCCACATATTCATCCTTTAGCAAACAAATTAGTGACCATGTTTGAAAAACTCAAGCTGAGTTTAAAATAAGCTCAGTCCACATAAAGTCCCAGTGGATTTAATAAACTGGTTAGAGTTTAAATAAGATCCTTTCTTGCCCTCTAAACAACCATGGAGGCTTTGTGATTCCAACTCTTTAATCCAGATCCTTAATCTACATTCCTGCATATAATCGATTTCCTTTAGAAAGTTATTAAATGTTTTATCTTTTCATGTTTAACTAAAACCCTGCCTTCACAATATGTTTTTCTTCGTTCTTGTTTTCTTTTTGCTCACCCTGAAAAACGTAACTAAAAAGCAGGAAATCAGGAAGCGGAAAACACTTATTTACTCCACTGTGTCTCCAGTCATCTTCCAGTGGATCATCTAATGTATCCTTATTATACCAGCCAGTTAAACTTATGTGATTCCCTGGAGTTTATTTAACATTTGACATAAAATCATAATAAAAGCATTAAAATGTTTCACAAGGTATTGTAAAAGATTTTAAGTTAATTTAATTGAAACTTGTGTCTTAATCTTTATTCCTCGAGGGCGATGTGTCTTTAATCCAACATATCTGACTCAACTACTTAAACAGCATACAGCTAAAGACTAATTACTGAAGTTTCTTGAAGCACTTAAACGCTGAAGAACATTCACCGTCTCAAACCCGTCTATGGTTTGAGGCGGCTACTTTAAAGTCTGCAACTTTATGACTTCCACCAACTAATATGAACACACCGGTAAAACAGAGAACAATTTTGGATTTTATTTATCTTGGGAAAACAGTGTCTTCAGTCAGAGGCCTCTCCAGATTCACTGTAATACAGACTGCTGCAAAAGATCCGTCCTGCCAAAAGCCGTAACAATCTACAAAACCTTTTTGAAGAATTTGAATTAATATGACTTTATTCATCCCAAAGTTCCCTTTGCAATCAATAAAGTATTTTTTAACTGAATTGAATTGGTGAGTAAGTTACGAATCCATTTTTAATAAAACTAACCCATTATAGATTGCTTAAAATGCTCCTAATAAATCTTAGGAAGGCATCTTTTTATGATTAGCAAACAAAACAGAAATAGATTTCTCTATTTCCTTTCAATTATTTAACCAATTAATCTTTTTTGAAAATGTTTTACCAGTTTAAATGTATATTATTCTGAGTTAAATGATGAAATATTATTGCACATGTGATGCATTTTAATTTTACATGATTCAAATTTCCCTTCGAGCAACAGAACTGCAATACTGATTTCTGGCCAGCAGATGTCGCTCTTTATACACAGTCCCTGGAACAAATTTACCTTATTTGCTATTTTAAGTTATTATAACGTGGTCAGAAATATACATCAGCAGCAAACACTCATTCAGAGTGTAAATGAAAGAGCTGGGCATCATTGTCCGCCATTTTTAGATAATATCTCTCACCATGATTCACTGGAGTCTCAAGTCTGATGTCGACGACTCTTCTTTTCTTCAATTTCTTATTTCTGTATTTACTTCGGTTATCTTTGTAAGACATTCAAATCTGACAAAAAGAACAGTTAGAATTAGATTGAAATATTTTAAAACGCAATTAAAAGCCTAAATTTTCTTACAACCTATTCTGGAAGCCTTTTTTGTCATATATAAAACTCTAAACAACAAATTATCTGGCTTTCATGACATTAATCAAATCTACATAGTTATACAATGTAATAAAGTTAAGCCAAATTACAGCAGCCAGCTGAGATTTTTTTGTATAAAAATCTGAATATTCCTCTTCCACTAAAAGTGTGGAGTGTTCTTGTTTATTTTGGTTTTGTCATGAAGTGTGTGGTTGGTGGTGAGGAGATGACGCAGAGAACCCAGGTATGGTGAAGATGAAGATTTAATGAAGGCTCAAAACAGTCCAACAGGCAGCACGGCAGAGAGATAGGCACACAGCCAAATACCGGTAACTGATACACAGGACTGGAAACGAGAGCTAACGCTATCCAGGACTTAACAGTTCTACTGGAGCGAACACAAGACGTAGGACAAACTTAGACACTGACTACGACAAGGATCCGACGAGGAACACAGACAACAGGTGGGTTTAAATACACACGGGGTAATCAAGGGAATGAGACACACCTGGGAAACAATCAACGGGGAGGACGCAGAGACAGACTCACAGGGAACAGGACTACACAGAAACTCAAAAACAAACACACAGAAACACGGAACATGACAGGTTTTCTTCGTCATGCTGCCATGCAGACTGCTGAAAGATATTCTCAGTTCATCAACTCTTCAGTCTACATTTTTCTCTGGAATTTATTTTTTGCTTTGGCTGCAGAGTTTGGCTCATTGTCAAGGAGAAATGCATCCCTCCTGCCAGGCTTATCAGATGAAGGGAGGATTCTCGTCTGACATTATTTATGTATCTCCAAAGGTCCTAATTTACCATTGCCATCTTCTCAATATATTTATTAGCCCACACACAACTTACTGCTACCCATTACATATTTTATCCACATTGGCAGTAATTACAGTAATTAATTCTTGCCTTTACAGAATGAGAATTATTCCACTTATACAGTTAAAAATAAAAGAGAAGTGTTTAGAGAAGAACATAAAGTTAAAAATTACTATAACAGTTTTTATTTACGTGCACAAGAATTCATTAGATTTCCTGCATGTACTGTTCAAAATGAATCAATATCGAGTTTATCTCTGCAGAAAGTGAAGAAAGAGGAAATAGTCTTGCTCTAGAGACTTTACATTTTTTCTTGGCCTTAAACATTTTCTGTGGAAACTGAAGCATGCGTTCCTGTTGATCGCTACTACTGAGTTGTGAAATTACTGTTCGCGAGAAAGGCTTCACACCAGCATTCCTTTTCTTTTTTTTTTTTTTTTTTTTTTCTCAAAAGTTGACATTTTCAAATGTGATAATAAAAACCCAACTTTCTCAGCTCCGGTGTTTTCTCTCTCCTGATCTCCAGCTGACCTCACGTGTTTCACTACCAGTTCCTGAGGCTTCATGTTGCGTTCTGACGTTGGCTCCTGCTGCCTTCAGGTCGCCCTCCTGCAGTCCGTGCCTCGCCTAGGCTTCATCCCCAAACTACTTATTTGTGCTTTTGTACCTGGCCCTCCTTGCAAGGAACTGTCTCAGAAGGAGCAGGATTGTACTTTAGTACTTTGCCTTGGCATTATTTGATTTTTACACTTTGAATCTTTGCACTCTTTACGTTTGAATATGCATATTTTGTCAACCTGGTTTGTTTTGCATACTGTCTTTACTTTTTGTTTTAAGTGTTCCCTACTTTTTTGGATCCCTTGTCATCCTAGCCACGGTTGGGTTTAATCATGCTTTGTTTAATTACTTTGCTGATCTACTTTCTCTTGCTTTATCATTTTAGACTCAGACATCTTGCTTGTTCTATTGTCAGTGTTTTGTCTTCAAGAGATCCTGGGAAAGACGAGTGTCAATCAGGCACTTAGCAGATGTTATCCATCAGAAGTTCTGCGTTTCTTTTTCATTTGTTACATGTATTAAGTTAAAAATCAAAACTTGACATTTTGAGAAATACCATATATATTGTTTATTCATACTTTATTAAAAATAGGTTACAAAAAGCAATATATACAAATCTCTTCCAAGCTTCACAAAAGCAGATGTTTATGTGCAGACCGTCATATTTTCTTCCCACTTCCATATATGTGGGTATTAAGACATGTCAGGTTCTTAATTACATCAAGAGAAAATAGCATCTATACATATATATATATCTGGTGCTTTCCTTTTTATGCAAACCACGACACAAATTGACCAAAAAAAAAAAAAAAAATTAACTCAACTTTATTTGTCGAACAAAATCTAAAATGTTTCACATCTGAAAATTACTGATATGTCCGGCATAAAACAAACATGGACAAAAATACATCCTTAAATTGTCTCTCAATAAAAAGGTAGCATAGGAGCATAAATAAAAACTCCTTAATTAAGTGCTAAATTGATAAATATAGAAACAAACAATTTATCCCCACAATCTGATTATGCAACAAACCAAGATGCATTGTGAATATGAAGGCATACATTCATATACTTCTATTTACATTTTCAGGTTATTAGAACATAAAGTAGCATTAAAATTCAAATGAAACCAGGAGGGAGTGTGGTGATTTTTAACTCTTACTGTCAAGGCACCAATCACGTTCGCTTGTGCCGGAATAAAGCAACCAAGGTAAAAGTCCTGTTGGGGTCAATTCCCCAAAAATGGCAAAGTTTGTGGCAATAAAACACTGACACACTCATTTCTTCTGGTCATGTTACACTTTCAGTTGCATTAGAAATACTAGGCTGGTGATTAAAAACTTCTCTGGTTCAAAGTGTGCAACAGAGACGGTTACAAATACATTCTGAACCATCACATTTCTTTTTTTTTTTTTTAGTTACATTAAAAAAAAATACTTGTTTTATCAGGTTTCTGGCAAGGTTTGAGGCCCATATTAAACAAGTAAATAACATGATAAAATACATAAATGTACATGTATATAAAATACGCAACAATTTCGGAACTTCTGTTACGTAAATCACCTGGCAAGAGATTTGGCAAACTATAAAACATCCTGGTTAAGTAACTGCAGAATGTTTAATCCTCCAGCAAGAGCTTTGGCGAAAAAAGAAAAAAAAAGTACACAATAAACCAAAAACTCTTGATTTATTGTCTCTAAAATAGCTTTCCAGTTCTGTTTAACACATTTGTTGAATGCTAGACAGTGTTGTAAATAACACGCTGTGCAGAGTAGTACAGCAATTAACTTATCTGGACAGGCAGCGTCAAACATAAGTAGAAGTGCAACAATAACAATGAACAAAAAAGAATAAAAAAAGATGAGTTCTGAAATGTTTTTAAATGACAACATCAGTGCAGGTTTTCTTGCCGCTGTAGATCTTTGAAACTCTCTGACTCAAGTTGTTGGTAAGCAGCTTGGGAAGCAGAGAGACCACTTTCTTCTGTGGTCCTGATTTCCTCCTGTTATGAAAAGCACAGTTTGGTCTTTAGGTTATTTTATATTCTGTTGCCCTGCAAAAGTAACGATCCTCCTTCACATTTAATCACTGCAAACTTCAACTTATTTCGCAGGGTTTTTCATTTCAATTACCAAGAACAACTAGTGCACACAATTGTGAAGCAAACGGAAAATGATGTAAGACTTTCTAAGTCTTTCAGAAATAAAACTCTGGATGATGTGGCATCTGTGCTCAGTCAGTTTCCAACCAATTATTATTAAAGATCACTAGGTTATAATAACAATAAAATGTGTTCTGGACATCTTAATGGATCGAGTATTGCACTATGCTTAACTATAAACCTGTCAAGACAAAGCACATTGTTAGAATGACCCAGTCAAAGTCCAGAGCTAGCTCCTATAGAGAATCTCTGACAGAATGATGCTTACAGATGTTTTCCATTCTCAATTAGACTGAGCTTATTTTGCTCCAACAATGGGCACAAATTTTAGTCTAGACATAAACCTGGCAGATATGAAAAAAGAATGAAAAACAAAGAAATAAATCATATGTTAGAAAACAACAGCAAAGCATAACGCTGCACTTCGAGTTAAAACATATAAACTCACCCGAAAGTAAGAGGAATACAGAGTTAAGAACCTTTACTAAACATAAGCAAACTATTGTTTGTGCTTATTAATATTGTCAATCCTTTTGCAAAGCCCTGGAATCACGTGTGTGTGTGTGTGTGTGTGTGTGTGTGTGCGTGTGTGTGTGTGTGTGTGTGTGTGTGTGTGTGTGTGTGTGTGTGTGTGTTTAAACTCACATGTTGACTGCTGCCCACACGCACAGACACACCACCAGGACGACGATGATGACGACAGCGATGTAGATGTAGATCGACACAGAATTCATTTCTCGTCCCAGAGTGGTTTCTCTGCTATCCACATCTAGAACAAAAGCAAATAAAACCAGGTTTGTTACAAAGAGATATTTGATTATAATATTTGATTAAAAACACATGTTAAGCAACAAAATCCACAAAAACCTAAAAGCAAATCAGCCTGATCAAAGTGTAAAATATTCATTTCAATAGCCTTGGAAATCCAAGATTTTGATCCAGTAAAAGAGGGAACCGCCTGCAGGTGGTGCTGTAAGACAGGTTCATATAACATGCTGGATTACATCACACAACCACAATAATCTGAAACCTTACAGCAGCAGGTTGTCTGCTCGTAGAGGAATTAAGGAACAATTAAAACTTGGGTGCTGTGGTGGCGCAGGGGCAAAGCACAACCCACGTATTAAGGCCTTAGTTCTCATGCTGGTGGTTGCAGGTTTGATTCCCAGCCTGGTGAGATTTGCCACATTCCTGTCTTTCCTGTTAAACTACTTTCAAATAAAGGCCACTAGAGACAATAAAACATTTTTAAAAAATCTCAACTTCAGGTGTTTCACACAGAATTTTGCTGCATTGCCCCATGTAGCCACAAACGGTTAAATCCAAAACAGATCGCATTTAAGCGACTGAAGCAAATTTAAGATTTATTATAAAAAGAATCACCCCAAAGAAGCCAACCCAGATATTTGGCAGATTTGGTAAATGTAGGGAAAATTATATTTATGCTCAATCCTAAATCATTTTAGGGCAAATATTGTTTACAGCATCATTGGGACTTTCTGCGATCAACCCACTCTGGTAGCAACCATTCAACGTTTAATGGCTTATTTCCAGAAAACATAAATGTTTCCCATGGATTTAAAATGCTTATATTTTCATCTTTGCAGAGCAGTAAATCTAACTTTCTAGAGGAGTATTTTACACTTTGATTTAATCAAAAATCTGCAGCACAACATTGATAGTCGTCCATCTTGCCATTTTTATGCACAACAATTTTCATCAGGTGCGTCTGTTGCAGCTTATTACATTAAAAGGATATTTCTCAGTTTTAGTACCTCAGACTCCATCTGTCTGGATCATTTAACAGTAGCTCAATAGACTTAAAGAATAACACAAATTACATTTAAAAAGATTGTTTGTTGTTATTTTTATTTATCTAAATAGGCTTTCATACATGGGTGCACAGTTTTTAGAAGCGCTAACCTGGATGGCAAGTTTCAAGGCTCCAGTCACTCCAGAAGCTTTGGTCCACACAATAAGAGTTCAGTCTGGACCGAACCTTGAAGCAGTTTCTCTTACTGCTGTTGCTGAAAGGCAGAGTCAGGCTGGGCTTCTCGGTGTGAATGTGGTTCTGTCACACAGGAAAACAAGTAAAAGAAATGAATGACACAAGGGGAAGTAATATGAAAAAATGTCATTTTAAGAGCTTAAAGACAAGTATCTGATGTGATTTAAAAATTTAAAAGTGGCTCAAGCTTGGAAAATTCTTCAAAATGCACTGCAGACCAAACGCTGAGCGCTACAGTTTACATGAGATTTCAGCGCTCTAATGCTGCATGTATAAGCAATACGTTTTCAAGTTCATTCAAATAGAAATGTGCTGAACCTGCGCAGGATCTTTCAACAGGATTTCCAGAAAGAACATATAAGCTAATGCAGTGAGTCTTATCAGAAGGTTCTTATCTGATCAACCATACCAAAGATATTTTTCCATCAGCCCCCACATGATGGTGTCTCACTTCCCACTCTAGGCAGTGTGCAGGAAGCCTCCCAGTGGGATTCTCCCAGTGAAACTCCAACTCCGTGTCAGAACTCGTCTGCAGATGCAGCTTATCTGGAGCTGTAACCTTCACTGCAAAAACAATAAAGCCAAGTACAACATATCATCAAAAGGAGAAAGGAAGGAAAACCTAATCTGGTTTAGAAGAAGAAGAAGAAAAAAACAATGACAGAATCAAAATATCAGGATGAGATACTAAACTAGCACGGAGCTTGCATGGCAGCTGTCATGTACACACCCTGGTTTTGAATCTGCAGGGAGAAGAATGTTGCCTTCAGGGGCCCATCACGGGAGGAGCCGTTTACACAGAAGTAGATGTCAGTGAATTCAGGAAGAGATTTTCCTGGGAAGTTGCAGCCCTTCCTGACTCCACCTGACAAAATGTAGCTGGGGCATTCAACTGCCTGATCCAGGGACCTATGCCTGGGAGAAAAACAAACAAAACAATCCATTCATCCAGGACATAATGTTTATGACTAATAAAACAAAAGAGTTGCCGCCAAAGTACAATATTTACCTGCAGTGATTTATAAGACAAGTATTGAGGTGTAAGGTGGGAAAATAAAGGAGTGAAAGTGGAAGAACTTGTGGGGCATGACGGATGAGTCACATTCAGAAAGTTTCCAAAACGTTCGTATGCAGTCATTTTTCACTAGCGAGAACCGCTAGCTGTAAAAGCAATTATTTGTGAGCAAGCTAGCATCCAGCCAAAAAGCTGTCTTATTTAAGCAGGTTACGTACCAGAAATAGAGATTCTGCAGTGCGCTGGGTGGTGTCTTCAGGCCGCGTGTCCAGCTGCACTCCAGATTCTCCATATTATGGTACACGCAAATAAACGCTTTGGCTTCTGTACCCAGAAGTCCTAAACACAATGATAACAAAAAAAGGCACACAGCAAATGTCTCTTAAAACTTACAGCCAGAAATACTTTTGGATTTTGTAAGATTTTACGTGAGAAATCGACAACAAAGTATCATCATTGTGAAGTTAATTGGAAAACTGATGCATGGCTTTAAAAAAGGAAAGGAAAATGAAATCACAAAATAGTGCAGAATATTAGTATTCATCATCCAATAATCAGTCAATATTATTTTGCTAATTTTGTTTTGCAAAAGAGTTCAACCTAATATTTGATTTCTATCTATTTCTATCGACTCTGACCAGCTTCCCGGTCTCTACTGCATCCCCGCTTCATGTTTCACATGACGGTTGCATGTTTTACACGCTGGCATGTTCTGCATGCGACCGTCATGTGGCATGTGAAACGGTGGGAATGTTGTGTTGAAGGCGTCCAATTTCCACCACAGCATTTCGAATCTGTCTCAAATTGTTCCATTTTGTTTATATCTGCTAAAAAAGTTTTTTATCTCCACTTCCTAATTATGCACCAATATATTTTGGTCTATTACATACATTCACAATGAAATGCAGTCAAGTTACAATGTCTGTGATGAAATTCAAGGTATGTCGGTGCGTCTGCAAAGCACAGCATTTTGTGCTGCAGACATGAAGCACGCATTTAGCAGCTGACCTGTGCTGGGAGGTTTCAGAATCATCTCAGTGCAGTTTTCGCTCATGATCATGGTGTTGTTGGTGCACTCTCCATTCAGGATGGTGTAAACTCTTATGTGGACGTCTTTGGACGGGTCAAACTGGGCGCCGTAGGTCCTGCTCGGGGTTCTGAGAATCTGCCAAGCCAGACATCCAGACATGTTGTTACACATCAGACATACACCTGAGGAGTTTTAACACTTTGTGTACAT